AAAGTCCAGTGTGCCCCTTTCCCACAGATGTACAGACAGGCAATGGACAGTACTGTGTCCCCAAGCAGCATTCCACATCTCCTGTCTGAAAAGTCTGCATCACTGTGTCTCATAGTAGGATTGGATGAGAAGCACCTGCCACGGGAACGTCATTTGCAATGGACTCCACGGGAAGCACATACCATATAGATGGGCTCCAAAATCAATGGTCCACCATCTGCTACTGTCCAGTTTCCCTGCATATTTCTTTAGAGGATCATACCAGGGTTCAGTATTGGCAGTACGGCCAGAAAGGCTGGAGAAGCAGAGCAGGCAAATATTTTGTTTCCTGTGCTGACTTCTCAAAATCAAGAGAGGTTTGGTACGTGGAGTCAGGCACCTACGAGTTACAGATCATTTAAGCCTAAGGTACAATCCCACCCTGTTCCACCTGCCACCACATTGCAGCCTCACACAAGAAGCACAGATGCTTTCCGGAGTATCACCTGCCCATGCTTGTTGGAAAACCCAACAGATATAGTACCAAAATGAGAAAGTACCCAAATTGTCTCTTATATCAGCCCCAAGCATGGCAAGATGAAAATTCATAATTACGATGCCGTTCTCAGTACTCATTCTCATGAATGCATGGATTCCTGTAGAAACATATAGACTCTTGGACTTCTGTATCTTGGGGCGGAAGCTCTCCATGATCCCAACCTCACAGTTATCTGCCAAGCTAAAGACATATCTAGCCAAGGTTTGCTGCATTCTCATTCTGATAAAACTCCAATCCCACAAAGCAGATGCAGGAATTCTATGCTATGTACTACAACCATAGCCTGTGTGATGGTGGCAGTAGAAACCACACATAACATTGTACCTTCTGTTCTGCTCCCAAGAACAGTCTGCTATGCTGGTCTTAATACACAGCTGCTGTTTAGTATAGTGATTTGGAGAATAAAATGGGGACTCCTTGTGAAGAACTTCAATGTGGCTACAAGAGGATGCATGCTATGGCCTCCCTACAATATTGTTGTAAAGATTTTGTTTGAGCATTGAGCATGACGGGGGGGGGGGCTACCTGATGAATGAATCCTTTTATGAAAAATAACATTCTTGCATTGGTGCTCCACCCTGGCCTGGGTGGCCCAGGCTAGCCGAACCTCATCAGATCTCGGAAGCTAAGCAGGGTTGGCCCTGGTTAGTACCTGAACAGGAGATCACCAAGGAAGTTCAGGGTTGTTCCGCAGAGGCAGGCAATGGCAAACCACCTCGGAATGTCTCGTACCAAGAAAACCCTATGGAGTCGCCATAAGTCAGCTGCAACTTGATGGCAAATTTCATATATACACACACAGAGGAGCTCCTGAAAGTTTAAACTTGCCCTGTTCCCATGCCTTTACCAGCAGTCTGACACACAGAAGTTTAACAGGTAAAACTTTTTTTCCATTACTTTATTTCCATGATAGAAGTAACTTCAGTTTCTGCATGGTAGGCGCACTGTTAAAGCACAGTTTTTAAAAAAAGCAAAATAATAGAAGCAATCCTGTTCCCACACTCTTTTTGCAGAAGTACTGTAGCAGAAATACTGATAACAACAAAGCACCTTTTTACTCCCTCTTGGCTGATGGCGCAACAGGTTGCTACATTTATTCGTAAACTAGTCCAAGCCTTTCTCCCTAGAAATAATTCATGAAAAACAAAGAGCACCAGAACTGCATGCTGGATCACACTGAAGTGATATCTAAGCCAACATTATCTTATCCTCAAGAGTGGCCAGTCTCTGGAAATCTCCCAAGCAGGGCATGAATTTGACAGTCCACCCCAGCACTGGTACTCAGAGATGAAGATTCAATTTAACTATCATGACTAACAGCATCCTCTATGTATGTGTCTAATATGTTAGAAGAAAAGCACTATCTTGCAGCAACTGAATACCATACCTGAACAATGCATGTATTAAGCGAAGCCAAGTTGGTTCCATTCAGCTCTGGAAGGTTAAACCCAAATCTTAATACCATGATAAAAGAGGGGGGGGGACTTATCAGGAGACCTGCAGCTTACTTCTAGCATAAGGTGACAACAGACAGCAACAACTTTAGGATAAAACTAAAATACCCCAGGGAAAATCCTACAAAAAGGGGAAAGCAGGCACAACTCCAAAAACCTGCACTTTCCACAGAAACAGCAGCCAGCTCTGTGCTGGAATACAGCAAACCGAATAAGGGTAACAGGAACCAATAACAGAGGCCTGCGTCATATGTCACAGTTGACATATGGAACACTCAGTATGCATGTAGTTCTACCCCCCCCCCTTTGTAACAAGGGGACCACTCTACAACAAAAAAGGATGCACAGCTGGGACTAGGTAGATCCGGGGGGGGGGGGGGGGGGAGAACACCATGTCACTGTCTCTATACGGAACCCCCAAGAGTGCCAAATGCAACTCAAGGGAATCTTGAATTTGCTAAACCTCATATACGTTAGGTTAAGGGGGCCCACACCAGGCTGCCTTGACAGCCTCTAAAATCTAGGTACCAACACAATGTGTAGCCACGTCTTTCACAAAGAAGACAGAGATGAAAGGTGGTTATCCAGTTCGTTTCTTCATCACAACCCTGCAAAGTAGGTTCAGCTGAGAAAAATCTTCAGCCCGCAACTTCCCCAGCAAACTTTGTTGCCCAAGCAAATATTTGATCCCAAGTCTCCCAGGTCCAAGGGTGTCCTCTACACCATACCAGTTATGTTTTTAAAATGGTCTTGTTTCTACTGCAATCCATGAAACAGGTACCCCAGAAAAATCTTTGTTGTAAGACTGCGTCTCCATTTTTCACAAAAACGTAAAATCAACATCAGGAATATAGTAGCTCCTTAACAGATCATGTACAGCACAGATCAACGTATGATAACTGATACCAGGCCACATGAGCAGAGAATACAGAGTCAGGTGTACTAAACGGGCCACCATGCAAGAACTCAACATCGTTAAAGTTCAGCTGTTTTAACCAGCTACACATAAACAGACAGTTTGTTTTCTTTAAGATTCAGTACTTTCCACAGTTCCTAGAGTGGGTGATCAGTGTAGCAGGATATTTCCTTTTTAGCTCACACACATGGAGGTCACAAATTCGAATCCTACACTGGGAGCCATGGGGGGGGGTATGCCTTTAAATATTTCTTCAGCCCCAATACAGGAGACCTGAGTGTAAATAAACTGTGAGGTAAAATGATTAAGGCCAATCTCTGTATCTGACCCTAACTTACCTTACATCCCTTATGGGGATATTGTTTCGGAACATAATGTGAGGAAAACCTCAAGGTCTGCCAACCGGAGCTTCTTAACGCAAAAACAGAGTTTAAACATGATAAGAAATGAAACAAAAAGCTACCTGCATCCCAGAGAACAGCTAGCAGCAATTCAACCAGCTTATTCAAACATATGAAACACATGGGGGCTAACAGTGCTGTTGCTAAGCCTTTACACTCTTGTAAGCCCATGGACTTCACTTGACTTGAAAGGGTGGTAATTCTGGTCAGGACTGCACTGCAAATCACCCAACCAGCTAGGTCTCTCTCCCCCCCCCCCTTTGTCTTGCAAGGATGGAGTCACTTAAAATTACAATGAAAGAGCCTGTGATTTACTGCAGTTACTTATACTGAGACTGTGCAGGCGAAGAAAAGTGACTTGAAGGCTACAGTTCCCCAATTCTGCCCATGAAAAAAAGTCAAACATGACTTTTACTTTACATATATTATATATCGACCCTCTCTCTCTCTTTTTTAAAGAGAAAAAGGGGGGACAGAGAGATGTGTGTGAGGTCTGGGTGACTGGATGTAGCCCCAGATGTTTACAAGGCTCTCTCAGGGCTGCAACATGAGACCCCTTAGCCGGGGGGGGGGGGGGGGGGGGGTCTGACAGAACACCACTAAAGCAGCATATATGTGTTATTTGACAATGCAGACCATGAAGACAGGATTAAAGACCAGGGATGCAAGAAGCACATGCCTGTGTTTTAAAATGTTAAGACTTCATGAGTGGCCAGCCATTAAGCTAGCAAAATAGGGAGAGGAAAAAAGATAAAAGGGGAAACCTGTCTTTTTAGCGCAGAGGGTGAGTCTACGGGGAGAAGCGAGGACTTTCAGCCAGTTGCCTCCCCCCCACACACACACCCTTTTTTTAAAGGATTGCTCCAAACTTCAAAATCATATCTTTTGCAAGTATATTTCTTCAGGTCAAGGCACTCTAAGAGTTTCCCCAATGCTCCTGACCTGCTGATCTGACACATCTTCAAGAACCAACATGAGACACACTGCTTTTGAGTTCAAGTTTGCACAAACCAGATACCATAAGAGCCTGAAATTAAGCAACTGGCAACTTCACTCTTCCTGCCTTCCCAACCCATTTTCTCCCTCCTATCCTGGGTGCTTGATTCAAGCCAGAATAAATACACCACAGATTTGCATTTGCAGAAGTGATGCTTTGGACATAGCAGGGGGGGTGGGGAGATGCAATACTCCCTGTTCATTTCACCCTCTCCCTCCAAAAAAAAAAAAATGACTGCAAGGACCAGCAGTTTCAAATAGTACAGTCCAAGGAAGAAGGCCAGCCTAAACTCATTTATTTCCCAGGGCTCAGACTGGAGTAACTCTATATAGGGCTGCACTGGAGAGCACAGGATTGCACTGGGACACCCCCCCCCGCCCACCCCCCACCCCCAATTGCCCAACAAATTAAAGTGGTCGCAAAGGAATTTGTGCAAAACTTCATTGGAGTGGAGACCAGGCAGATACTGAGGGAGGCGGGGCGAATTAGGGGTTCTGTAAAATTTCATTTCGAGACAGAAGTCACCCATCCCAGTACTCAAGCTTCCGGGATGTGCGCGAAATTCCACGACAGGCGGCGGTGCCTCTGGGCATAAGCAGAGCGCCCCCCCACCTCAGGCACTGGGCAAAGCCTAGGCAGCCCCTTGTAAGTCTTTCGCAGGAAGGCGACGCGAGAAAGTAACGGTTCTACTCACTGTCCGGGCAGTCTTGGCTCTTGGTGCCGCTGACTTTCCCGTTCGGCTCAATCCGAAGGAAGAACTTGTTGTAGGAATAGAGCTTCCTCCAGTGCACGTCTCCGCTGAGGTGATAGTAGCTCCGCACGTGTCTCCCGGCGCTGGCAGGAGAGGAGGCGGAAGACGACGAGGAAGAGTTAGTGGCCTTGGGGAGCGGCGTGTCCCGGCCGGGCTCATGGCAGGGCAAAGCCAGCGCGGACATCCAGAAGAGGAGCACCACGAAACAGCAGCAACCGCAGGAGAAGGAGGAAGAGGAGGAGGAGGCAGGCAGGTGGGCGAAGGCGGCGGCGGCACCCTGTGTCAGTCTCCATTTGCACATTGTCCTGAAGCTCTGGGCGCTGGAGAGTGCCTCATGAAAAGAAACATACTGGAAGGGTGAGCCGCGGGGAGAGGCGAGGGGGCAGCTGAGGGGGTGCGCGCCCGCTTAACGCCCGCGGAGCTGTGATCTGGCCTGAAGGGACGGCGCCGACATCCATGCCGCAGGGGGCCAAGCGCTCCAGAAGACGGCGGCTCCCCCACCCCCTTTCCCTCTGGGTTGCCGGCTCTCTCCTGTGCCTTTATTAATCCTTCAAGTCAAGAAGAAAAAAGTTACAGTTTTCTGGGCGGACGGGAACCGTCTGTTGCTTTGCAGATCCCCCCCCCCCAAAAAAAACTCCTGTTTCGGGGACGAGATCAGTTCTCTCTCCTCCGCACTGCCGGCTGCACCATCCTCGAGGCAGGAAAGTCTGAAAAGAGAGAGAGAGATGACAGGAGAGTGAACAACAACATGAAGACAACCCCCCCCCCCCCAAAAAAAAAGATCTGGGGGGGGTATGAGAGCAGACGGAGGGGGAATCACCCTATTGCTTCTGCACCTTAAGAGGCGAGAACCACGGGTCCAGCGAGTGACAGGAAAACGTTGCTCCTCTTCCTCTCGGAATCCTCTAGAAATAAACCTCTATATATTCAAGATAGATATTTTTAAAAAAAAAAAAAAAGTGGGGGAGACAGCGAAACCGAGCAACCCGCCCCCTTCAGGTTCCCAACAGGTTGGAAGCCGTATCCTAAATGCTAGAGATTACAAACCCGAGAGGTGAGACGTGCCTCTGGTGGGCAGGTTTTATTTGCAGGGGGTCAAGCAGCGGCGCTGGGACATCTGAAACCCTTTTGCGAGTTGCAGCGAGCAAGCGCCTGCTGGGAGAGAGCGAGAGCCTCCAGGATCTGCCCTTTCCCCCACCCCCACCCCTTCCTCTCCTACAACAGCAGCAGCAACGCAGCTAATTGCTCCTCTCGCAGTTCTTCTGCAATGATCTGCTGGCCACCAGCATGGCTTGGAGACTCATGCTTTACTAATTTCCCTGTCTTCCAGGCTCAGCCAATCCCCTCTAGGGAGCCCCCCTCCTCCGCCTCCTTTTCTCTCTCTCTCTCTCTCTTTTTAACTTGTTTTCTAGAGAAGGATTTTTATTTTATTTTTTTGGCAGTGAGTACTTAAGAGCCACCTGGTGCTTGTTGCTTTCCTGACTCTCTCTCTCTCTTTCTCGCTCCCCCCTCTAAAGAAAGGGGAGGTGGGATTGGAAAGAATATGTAGCGCAGACCGACCCTGCAAAAGCAGTTTATACGCTGGTCAGAGAGAATATAAAAAGAGAGAGAGAGAGAGAAAGGAAACATAATTAGGTCCTTTTGCTCTCCTTTCCTCTGCCAGCTTCCACGGAGGTCTCCCGCTCTCGCTCCCCCCCCCTCCTTATTTTAAATGAATCTATGATTTCTCGCTTCCGTTGCTGTAATTGGTGTGCGTGTGAGTGCGGAAATCACACTTTAAATCACACTTCCTTTTGGAGTTTCCCAAGATTTATCACTTCCAAACTGGCCTTGAAATAATAAGATCCCTTAAACGATCACTTTCTAATTGCTGATTCACTTACCCAATCACGAGTTTGACTTCGAAAGAAAATAAGGGGACTTCAGGTAGGGGAGAACTTAGGTTGGCACTGCAAAGGTTTATCCATAAAGTCTGTCATATTATTATTTGTTGTTGTTATTAATGCAATTGCTTTTGCCAGAAAGGGGCACATTTTCCAGTTTGAAAAACCTTTTTTCCCCAAAGCCATCTATTGTTTTTGAAGGGCGCCTAATGATTTATTTGTCACAGAAGGTGCTGTTATTATCCACCCTTCCCAGTGAATTTGTCATGTTTCACAAGGAATATCATGACAGATATACTAGGCTGTCTTCCTGTGCTGATCCCTGTTGTTGCCAATGCTTAACAGGCTTCCAAGTGAATGTGCCAAATGTATACCTTTCTCAATGCTAAGGAATGCCTCTCTTCAGATAGTTTCTCAGGATCTGTGAGGCTGCCCCACTGCAAGAGAGTTTTTGTAGCAGGAGGACACGAAAGTGTGTCTTGGCATTTGCCAGCATAAAATAAGGATTGCAACATGCAAGGCAACGGGTTATTATTTCATGTTCTAAACGAACGCTACAGAGGAAAAATTAGCCCTCTAAATAATGAAAAAAAGAATTGGATTCGCTTGTATGTAAACACAGAGTTTGCTTGGAAGAAGTATAATCTAAAGAAAATGCTGATCAATGGAATGCAATGGAAAAACAGCCAAGGCATTATATATTGTGCATTTGGAATCAATCTTCCCTTAACTAGCAGAGCATACATACAGAACAAATAGTTCTCAGATTGGATTGATTCATTAGGTTGGACTGCAGAGTTTATTGGTAATGCAGCAGTAGAAAATTAGAAATGATTTTCTTCAATTATGATGCGTGCTCCCTCACCAGAGTCAGTTCTGAAATTTATGGCCTTTGATTGTGGAAGAAGGCATTTAAATAGCCTTTAAAATGAAAAAGAAAAGTTTTGTGGCTGGAATCTGTGTGTTTTCTTACATTGTTTGTGCCACTCCAAAATATTTCTTCTTCATATTTGAAGCATGCACTCAGTGCCTTGGAAGAATGTGTTGTGCTAGGATATTTTTGAGGTCTTGGTTTAAAGACAAGGGGAGAGAGGGATCGTAAAGCATTTGTGCCAAGTACAGTTATGCAGTTGCATAGAGGAACCAGAAATGATGCCTGCTGTCACCTGTTTATCTCACTGAGATGCATAGCTAACGGTGCAACCCTAAGCAGACATACACTGTTCTGAGCCAACATTACCTTCAATGGACTTAGAAGGATATAACTCTTCTTGGGCTTGCACTATAGATCTGTGATATAAGAGAAGCATTTCAGCGCAAAGAACAGGTTGACCCCATTTGTAAAACATTATTCCCCCTTTATGCTGGGAAAGATTGAAGGTCAAAGAAGATGGGGACGGCAAAGGATGAGATGGTTAGACAGTGTCATAGATGCAACGAACATGAAATTGAGCCAACTTCAGAGGACGGCGGAAGACAGGAAGGCCTGGCGTGATCTGGTCCATGGGGTCGCAAAGAGTCGGACTCGACTGTGCGACTGAACAACAACAACAACATTCCCCCGATCTGGAGACAAAAAACTTCTACACAACTGTTGCAGACCAGACAACTCTCTTTCTCACAATAAGGGCCAGTATCAGCGTACCCTGTGGCATGGCAGCTTCTAGGACAGGTCAACTGATGCCAGTCTCTTGCCCACGAGCCTTCCCTGCTGTGTGCTTGCCTTCCCCCTATCTGCTTGGTGCTCCACCACCCATCCTCCCTGCTAGGTGCAGCACCCACCATAACTGGGGAAGGGCATACAAGTGGTAGTATAGAGGCATCATTTTTGGCAGCAACAATGGTGGCTCTCCCCAGCCCCACTCTACCTGGTGCCATCAGAAAAAGGCCATGTGGGAGGAAGGACAAATAGGCAGGCAGGTGGACAGGAAGGGGGTGCCAGTCAATGGTGGCAGGCAGGAAAGGGGGGGAGAAGAGGACCCCCGGGGGCCAGTCATTCTCTCTCAACCTCACAGAGCTGTTGTGTGGAGGAGGGAAGAACAGACATGTAAGCAGTTTTGGTATCCATTGGGGAGAAAAGCATGGTATAAATATATCAAATAAGCATGGTATAAGTTTATCAAATAAAATAAGTTGCATCTTTTGGTACTTGTTTCCATTAAAGGCCACTAGTAAGACACACTAGTTGCACAAAACTCCCACTGTATTGGAGCCATTATATTAAAAAAAAATAAACGATGAAATAATACATGCACGATGAAAGGTTTGAAATATTGGCACATAGTTCTTGGTGTTTGGAGATTAGGATCCGGAAGACTGAGAGTCAAATCCCCACTCACCCATAAAGCTCACTGGGTTATCCTTCTCTCAGCCTGATTTACCTCACACCGTGTTGTGACGACAAAATTAGAAGGGAACCATGTATGCCACTCTTACCTCATTGGATGAAGGGTGGGATAATAATAGATAATTATTAATAATTACCATAGTAGTCTCAGTTATGTGCATGTTTATTCCAAATGGACCACTGATTTAAATGAGACTTCCAAGGTGCATTCAGTTACAGCTTTGATTTGCAGGGTGCAGTTAAATATCGGGTGGAAAAGAATGTTTTGAAGGATTAATGAAGTTAAAAAAACTTTCAACTTTTTAAAGAACCAGCCAATTTGTTGTTTGCAAATGTTTTTTCTTAGATTCTGTTTGTAGCATTCCCTCTTTTGCATGACTGAAAAGTTCTATTAAAAAACAGTCTTAGAAACTATCCTATTAAATCTCGTTACAGCAAGTACAATATTTGGTGAAGAAGAACTCATGGGCTCCTTTTTTCTCTATACTGTGTGATGACAGGATGGGCACTTACAAACAGAGGCCCAATGAAAAACTGACATAGCTTTTTAGATTACATCTCATTCCTTTTTTCCTACTTTCTGTATAGCCTTTCTTTTACAGCACAGTTGAATCCCTAAGTACCCTACTACTTTCTATTGTTAAGCCCCCTCTTAGGTTAGCCTGAAAAAGCCTGAGAAAAGTTCCAGAGGAAAGATGTACTATTTAACGGAATTCAATCTGTCCCAATAGATCTGAATCACTAACATAAATGTATGAATGTAGATTATATCTCTGTAATGAGGCCTGAATCATTCTCAGTTACTTCAAAGGATTGAAACCCAACCTTCCTTTTTAGCAGCAACAATCAGACCTTAATGGGTTCCTTTATTAATTGTTCCCCCTGCTAGGTTTGAAAAGGAGCTATCTTCAGTGCAGGTCCTAAATTAGAAGAGGTACCTGCTACTTCTAAAATTGTAATTCCCTCACTCTCTTCCTTTAAGACCTTTTAAATGTGCAAGTAATTCATCCAGACGCATGATTATAAATTTTTGGTAACACTGAAGCATCCCCATTTTGGAAAACTCAGAATATAAAGTAGAAAAAGGACAGTGCTCTTTCACGCCATCATTTTAAAAATTATTATTTCTTGGAGGGAAATAAATCAGCCTAAATTCTACACTCTTCACAATGCCATATTTCCTTGTGTGTCTGTGTTTCATTTTTATGACCCTTTAACTTAATTAAATTATATTCCTGTCATCTATATTGATTTAATAAAAGTAACATTTTTTAAAATCTTGTATGTATAAACAAAGAACAGTCAGACCCAGATGCTGTTATTTAGCTACCTACTGAGATGCAGCTACAATTGATTTGAAACACATAGCACACAACAGTGAACATTTTTTTCTTTCTTATTTAGGGAGGGGTTTGACCTACATGGGAGTAATCCTGTTCTCTGCAGGCTGGTGGGATTTTCTTTTTACATTTTTTGCATTAGCTTCTTTAGTGTTTATTTATTTTATCCTACCCTCCCTTCTTGGAGTTTAGGGTAGCATACATTATTCCCTCCTACACGTTATCCTAAAAACAACCTTGTGAGGTAGGTTAGACTGAGAATGTGTGACTGGCAGAGTAGAGATTTGAACCTGGGTCTCACAGATCATTGTCTGAAACTCTGAAACTACACTATGCTGTCTGAAAGGTGATTCACCCATGATCTCTCATCACTTGACTCCTAAAGCCTTGACCTCTGGTTCACAAATGTATCTTCCTCAACTGATGAGTGTAACATCAAGTGATGTGTAGGATATATCAAAGTGCCACTGCAGGTATCTTCTTACCAGTGCCACCAGCACTTACATTTAGCTTTCACACATCAATTGTACAACAATGAATTGATATATTTGCACATATGAACCCAGCATTTGGACCCATTCCAAAGTTCCAAGAATGGTATGCTTGTGACTTGGCTGTGTTTGTTTCCTACATTTCTCTGGCAGTCTCTGAACCCTGAAGATCATGTGCAACAACACAACAGTGTGGCTACTTCCTA